TTCTATCCACTGAAACTGCACAAGACCTCGGTGTCATTCTAGTTTTGACTGATTGGTGTTCGCCTAATGCAATCTTACGACAGCAGAAGTTTGAAAAGGCTGCATTTGACAAGAAATGTGAAATGTGAAGATTTTATTGAATATTTTTTTGATGTAACAACGCAATGCAACATAAAATTTAACAATAAACAACAAACAATGGAACAACGCAAAATATTTTGAAAATGGAACAAATCATTTATTCTTGAATGTGTTATCAACGTTTCGCACCCCTTGAAGCACCCCGTCCACCCCGACCTCCTCTACTCGAACCACCCCGACCTCCTCCAGTTGAACCACCCCGACTTCCTCTACTCGAGCCACCCCGACTTCCTCTAGTTGTGCCGCCCCGACCTCCTCTAGTTGGGCCACCCCCAGCTCCTCTAGTTGAGCCTCGCTTCAGGCTGCTTTGAAAATGCTGCTGCCTATGGATTGAAGACTTGTGCCGATGATCACCGCCGCCTCGAGCAGCATGTCGCTTCGATGGCCCCCTTCAATTCAACCAACTGTATTCAGTCAAATCAATCCATTTTTTATCTATGTCGAACATTTCCGTCATTTAAACTTTAAAACAAAACGAATGACCAGATACTTCAAAACTGAATTACACGAAAACAAATCTGAAACTGAGAAAATGAATGAAGTGAATGAAAGTCGAGGCAATATTCACCTTCTATACATTCGATCAGATTAAAAATTAGACGGTAGGATCACTGAATAGAGAAGCCCAGTATTAACCCAAACATGTAGAAATCTTTAAATGAACTCAACGTTATCAAAACAAACTTACTTTTTCGCCTGTTCACTAGTTTCTTGACTGCTTACGTTCAAACGTGATTCATTCACAACTGATTTCTTCGCCAATATCTGATCAACTATCTCGAGATGTCGCTTTCGTTCAGTGGCAACGCTTGTTTCGTTTGGAGCGAACTGTTAACAAAAACATTTCATTCACAACTTTGGAAATTCAAAACTTTGGATAGAAACAGATGGCAATGAATCGCAATTTCAAATTATACTAATTAAGTGCCTAAAATCTCGATAGAAACTAATTTCTGTTTTATGTGAACACTAAATTTAAAGCAATCAAAAAAATGCTCTCTTGTGAAGTATTTCCAGATGAATTGAATCAAACATATTTCAAATTCTTTCTGCTTGATGACAAGCAACTTTCTGTGATCGCCGGTCATTCTGACCATATAAGAACATTGAAATATTCAATCTAGTTCAACACAGAACAATGGAATCCGCTGGATTTGGCTAAGTTACCTGATGTGTTTTGCCCGTTTTTCTTGGTATCTTCTCGTCTCTCAATTTTGGTTGAAATTTCCCCAACGACGCAGTTGCCTGCCGTGCTCGACTCATTTGATTCACCAACTGTAATACAATTAAGATATTCGATTTCAAATTTTACAAATTCTACAGAATCGCCACAAACTTGTCAATAGTACAATAAAAACTCTGCTGGATGTTTTCCTTTCCTTTCAGTATCATCATAATGTTGAATAGTACAATTTGAATTGACAATGAAGAGCATTCCAACACACGATTCCGTGTTTCATGCTGACCCTTAGAACACACAAGTGAAGAAATGTAGTCGTTTAAGCGACTGCTGACCTCATGCTTTGGTCTGGCCTCGAGATCCTTACTCAAACCC